TTACGAAAGATGTATTTGGAGGTTTATCTAAATCATTGACGATCTCCAACAGATCCGTAGAACATCGTAAGACAGATAGTTTGAGGGTCAACGATTGAACAGGTAACGTGCCTCGCTGGTTCGTCTTGAGCCAATACGTAACGTGGGGCAGGCAAATTGCAGATAGCTACACGCTGATGCCAGAGCTTATGAAGGCGAAGAGAAATGCTATAAAAATCAACCTTAATATAGGAGAGTATAGCAGCAGTGTTTGTTGAGCAGCAGGGCTAACACGAGCATTCGTATTGCACATTTACATCCTCTTCTTCTTCTTTTTTAGCGCTTGTCCCACTTAGTAGTAGGGTCCGCTTTACTGGTGTGTTGACGTCACTTTTATGGATTGAAATCTTGGTCGGAGTATAGGCCAACACTTTTTAAGTCTTCATGCGTGGTGACAAGAAAGCGCTGCTTTCCTTCAGTCTGTTTTCTGGGAAGATCGAAGTTGGGGTCGACCTTACAGACACTGTTTTCGGCAGCGTAGGACATGACCGTATGACCTAAGACAAGCGTTGCGCAATTCATTCGCAATAGGAACTATCCGAAACGCTATCTTATTTCATCGTTGCGAATATGGCTGAAATGCGCGGCTTCAGCTGTCCATCACAGCACTTTCGTTCCATTAACTCCAGCATTACGTCGTCGACATAAAGAAGCAACGGAGGAGATGGGTACAGAAGAACTCGTGTGATGGTATCCATGACGACAACGAATAGTAATGTAGAACCTTGGTTTACCCGACGGAGATGGGAAACGGTAAAGAGATACCTGCTGCACTCAACTGGTTAGATTCACGTAGAGTATGCGCACCAAGATGTTACGTCAGACGAGTGCCGAGATAATACAGATTGCAATCATTCGTTCTGGGACCCACACACAATCAGCTGATCGCCGAGTGATGAGGCGCTGTTTTTCTCCCAATCCTTCTTTCTCTAATATTCTTTTGCTGCTGTGATCCCTTCTTCAATTTCCTGCCCCAAGAGGCTGAGAAAGGTGAGCTATTTCTGCTGTAATTAGGGTTTTTTGCTTACTCATGCTAATATGTGAATGAATTTTTGCTTACCGTAGTCAGTTATTCACACTAGGACCCACACGTATGCAGTGAGACACATTGTATAGCTCGTCGAAAGACCCCACCCTTCTTCATTCTTCTAATCCCATTCTCGTCCAGCTCCCTTTTTACCGATTTTTCAAAGCCATTTTTCACTTCGGAAACACTGATTGGCACAGTTTTATACCTCCATCGCCCTATTTTCCATCTTATTTTCCATTTTTTGTCATCATCTGGGTTAACCGAAATTATCGTGAACTGTGCCTTCAAGAATAAGCCCTGGACAAGAAGTAGCAGAGCTCTGCGCAGTCTTAGAGAAAGTGGGTAAGCAAGCTTATCCAAAGAGCAACAGAAGACAGGTCAACGGAATACGCTCAAATTCTTCTGGATAAATCAAGCGAGCGGTCGGAACATGTCCAATCAATGGGAGCACTTCACAGGGTAGAATCAAACAAAGCGTGGGAAGAGATAAAGCATTTTACTTAGTATAGAGCGGTCCAAGTTAGTGCTGGGAGCCTACAGAAAGAGCCCACTATCTTGAAGGAGTAGGTACACACAGTATCAAAGTGGCTGGAAGCAAAAACCAGCTGATTCCACTGTAGGGAGATCGATGAAATTCGATCGTGTAGGAGGTGAGGGGCAAGAGTCTCGCCCAAGAAACGGATCAGTTCACCCACCCTGGTCATCCAAAGCAAGAAAGAGACAGTGAGGAAGAGCAGAGCAAAAAGTGTTACCACTGCTCAAGATTCGGACATTCTGCGAGAGAGTGCCCTACAAAAGCAGTTAAAGTGAATAGCACGACTCATAGGAATGCTCAGGTCAGGAATAAATAGGCAAAAATGACATCAATCATAGGATGCCGTAGCCCGGGAATGGTGATCTGAGAAGAGGACACGAGAATGAGTGATTTCATTGGCACTCGAGTGGTAATGGAAATAAACCTTCTTGAGAAGAACCGTAAGGCTTCAATAGACACAGGGTCAATGATCAGTATAATCTCGATAGGAGCACTGCAAAAACACAAGAGCGGGGATTTGACGTCGACACCTTGTCAATAGTGCCAAAAGATAAACTCAGACCGATGTTTGACGCCTCAAACAACATAATGAATTTTGAGGGCGCAATATATATGGACACAAAGAGTGGGGCGATTCAGGATTGCTGGGTTGCTACCGCTCCACACTACCCCACAAAAGAAGTCGAGGTATTAGGAACTAATGCGTTGAGCAGACTCTAGGAGTAGAAGTATCAATAAATGGGGATTTTAAACCAGTGGAAGAATTGAACACAACGAATAAAGGGAATCATGTGGTCGTGATGAGACGCCTTCACATACTACCACATAACGTGAGCCTGGTCCCAGTTAAACGTGAAGGTGACATAGGAAATGATAAGGAATGTGTTATATGGCCTCGTAAGCGACGAGTGGAACCAGGAATATACTTGATCAAGGATCGAGAGATTACGATTCTAGTCTTTAACACTGGCACGGATCCGCTGATTTTGGAAGAGTGGGAAACCTCGAACACTGGGAAACGGATAAGTGGTACAAACAGTGGGAAGACCCAAATGCTATTCTGTCCTACGAGGTCTATCGCGAACTATCGTAAAATGAGAGGCTGCAAAAATTGGAAGAGTTGCTGTCAGCAAACACTGAAGCCCGAGTGTTGAATGAAAAAGTAAGGATGCTTTTGACGAAATACAAAGGAACTTTCTCATAAAGGTCATAGAACATAGTAAATCAGAATGGGCTTCTCCCATAGTCTTCGTTGAAAAGAAGGACGGTTTGATTTGGCTAGGCGTGGACTACATTGAACTTAACAAAAGATCGAATTGGATGCTTATCCGTATAGAAGCGCTCCATCAGAGTTCACTAGGGAAACTATTCTTCTCAACTTTGGATATGTGCAGTGGATGCTGAAAAATTCCTTTAGCGGATGACGCCAAGGAAAAGTCAGCATTTGCCACGCCAATCATGACGGATCACCAGCTTCTAACTACACTTTTCAAGTGTGCTGATGCGTCACCACGAATTCTGAGATGGTTCTCGAACTGCAAAAGGCATAATCTTCAGATTCGCTATGCAAAGGAAAAGGCAAATGTGGTGGCAGATGCCCAGTGTACCTACAGCGATGGAGTTGAAGAATCCACAACTAGGAGATTAACTGGCATGATAGAAAAGGAGGAATGGATCAAGAAGTAAGAATGACTTCGCGTTACAAGGCAAGGATTGAAAAGGTTTTCAAGGTGCGGTAGGACGGAAGACGTTGTCCCTATATTGCACCGCTATGGAATCTTCAAGGAAGCGCACAGTCGCGTCTCGTCTTTGCAGGTCACTTCACTGCGGAGAAAATTGTGAAAACTTCATCCAAACGAGTGTACTGGTCGGGGAAGGCGCAGGATATCTATAAGTAGACGCGTCAATGTCAAAAGTGCTTCGTACACAATCCGGGAGAAAAGTTGGTTCAACTCTAAAGACAATTCTCACTTCGGTATCTTACGAGATTATAGGAGTAGATGTACTCGAAAAGGGCCAAACGTCAAAAGGGAATAATATGCAGTAACCGTGATTGACCATTTCACGAAGTGTGCCGCAAAGTATCCAGCGCCGGGCTACTCCGCAGAAACAATAGCAAAAACGTCTTACATGGATGGATTGCAGAGGGTTGCAGTTGGCCCCGAACAATATTACCGGACAAAGGAGGTAACTCTGTAAATCAGGTGATGAATGATGTCGTGAAAATGACGAGTATCAACCACATCGCCACAAAAGGGTATAACCCTAGAGAGAAAGGTCTAAGCGAAAGGTCAAACGGAACAATCCTTGCCATATTACGCAAAAGCACAGTTGTTCAAACAGAAAGGGATAGAAGGTTACCCTTCTGTAGGATGGCGCACATATGATCCCTCATCGCGCAACCGGGAAAAGTCCTTATCTCCTCCTGCACGGCATTGAGCCGGCATTCCCGTCATAAATCATACCAAATGCAGGTTTAATTCGATACATGGGGACAAATCGCTCAGCGAACATGAAACCGAAATACTTCAAGCTATCGCAGAGGTACTCGAACGTGTGAGGGAATATAACGAGCACGTAAGAGAGAAAAAGAAAAAGGCATATGACAAAGCAAACAAGGTGAAGAACAAGAAATACTGGAAATAGGTGAAAGAGTTTATGTGTGGTCACCGAATGAGAAATCGATGAAAACACATCCAAAGTTAGTAGGTGACTGGACAGGACCGTATAGGGTTATCGAAGTCAGCGATAACTCCGCACTGGTGACGAGAATCGGGCGGAATAGCGAACACATTCGCATTCACTACGACTCATCAAGAGTCGTCTCTAGAGAAATTTCGGACGAGCCTGAGGAAACAGCATATGCCAGAGGTCGCAAGGGGGACCGCTAAAGGTTAAGTTGGAGAGCTTACAGTGACTGTTTTAGAGGTGTAGTGCTCCTGGGCCTCGCCGACAAGGGTTACCTGCAATTCCAATGCGTGGACGACTGTTTCGCAAAACCGACGTTGCGCGACTTCGAAGGAATTCAGCTCCCGGGAGCGTACGGAAAGCATCCATCTGGAAACCCATGGACTGCGTGGAATACCGCATCAATTTCCATAAGAAAGGAGCTCAACACGATGCAGAAAGTGAAATTGGTCAGGAATCGAACCGCGTCTTTGGATACTGAAGCGAAAAAGCTGAAAGCTTAGTGAAAAGCTAGGGGCTTTGAGAAAGGACCCACGAGCTTTGCAGCACCAGACGAAGCTATTCTTATGAAACGCGATGGCTCAAAAGGACAACGAAAGTCGTGTCGATATATGTACAAGCAGCTCAGGAACACTCTCAAAGATTGGACGACATTTACAACTTGGGTCATCATTTACCCAATGAAGAGCAAAGGAGACGAAAAGAACCATGTTTAATATACTAAGTATAGCAAAAAGCCATTTGGAAAATGGAGGGAAAATCGTAACGGCCCTGAGTCCGCTGACGGCAAAAAAGGAGAAGGGATGGCGTATAATGATGAGTTTTTGGAAGATGCTGGGTGAAAGACTCGTGAAAATGGGAAGAGAAGGTCAGGTTGTGACTACATTGAATAGTCAGATCGTGGACGGGAAAATATACATTGAAGCAGGCAGCCCTGTGGCCTCAGCAAATTTCCACAATCTATACTTGGGAGTCAGGGCGGCCATGATATTGAACCAATCGGTACGAGAAAGAGCCCAAGGGATCAAGCTCTCTGAGATAGAACGATCGTCGAGGAAAACGACTACGCGGTGTGGAGGCATGTGGAATAGTGAGGCGAAGAGAAAAGCACCTTCACAGAGGCGGGCCGACACCAGCCTCCACAACAATAGTCCAGCCGCGACCACCACAGTTCAGCCGCCACCAGCCAAAGTCCAGCAGCCGTCACCAGCCATAACTTCAGAGCCGCCACCAGCCACAGCTGGCGCAGCCGTTAAGCACACAGCTCAAGCACATCGTCGATATTGAATTATTTGTTAGGTTTTTTTGGGAGGGAACAGAGTGGGTTGGATGGAAACACTGACAGTTGGAGGGCAGAAGTGAACTGCGCTCCCAAATACCGATTTAGGGGATGGCAGGACGGAGTTACGGAAAACTCGTTCTCTAGCTTTTCTGGTATGGTAGGGAGAAGGGCGGGGGATGGGGAAGTGGGAAATGCAACAGGGTGGGAACACCGATGGTAGTTGGCATGGCTGAACTACGGCCGTGGGTTCCTCAGGATGGGGGTAGAAGAGCAGAGCGTGCGCCATATGAGGGTAGTCAGAGCAAAAATGCGCAGCTAGTTGGATTTATTCAAACAAACAGGACCTGAGCAGGACTCCGCTCACGGTGGGCGAGACGCACAGGACTTGCGTCAGGATGTATGTGCTTGGCCATAATTCATACCTCCTGTTCTCTCAAAGTTAAGGGTACAAAATTGGGAGGGATAACTTTACATAAAAAAGGAGAAAGCGTTGTGAGTCTAACGACTCGACGGACAACGAGAACATGCTAGTAGCAGCACTTGTGTACACATTAGTACATAGTGATTCCATTCGAGGCAGCGTATCTCAGTAATCCTCGAGGAAGTAAACGCGCTCCTCCGAACACATTGTAAATTCTGCCTGCGATACCCATTCCTATACTGACCATGATATGTAAGACTGGAGAATTCCTGGGCTCTTTTTGACACTAGCGTTCACATTCATTCCAAACCTGCGCTCTATAAATTCCCAAATTACCTAATTCTCCAAGGGCTTTACCAGAGGCCACATGTGCCATCAAGAAATTCCGCGTCTCGGATGAGAACTAGATAGAGGAGTAGGGTCTTTGTAAACAGAGTACGAAAGTGAAGAAAGAATCGGGCATCGTTCAATGCCAGGTGAAAATCTGTTTGTGTGCTTACCATCACACGAAGATCACTATATATTACTGGAACAGCTCCAAATAATCGCGTCGCGACTCATAGATAAGAGGGAATAACTAGATCAGTGGCTTCATAATTATTTAAATAGAAACCTGACTCTGACGGCTTTTGTAAGGATGTCTTTGAAGAGAAGTATTCCGAGGCGCAAGCCCTCCTGGTGTACTCGCAACAGACACATCCAGTTCCGATTGTATTCAGTCAAAGGAAAGGCGTGTTATTCACTATCAAAACATCTGAGATCTCACGGCAACCCACTAAAGGGGATTCCAGAACAGTAGCACGGCGCATCAAACTCTCATGCATGCACTCTGCCGGAGAGCACATATCGGAGACATAAAATAGATATGGCACACGTCAAGACTGTACAAAGTATCCCAGAGCATGTGCCTTATTCGTGCGTCTCCCGAGTGCTTCGTTTCTAAATGCAGAAAAAAGGAGGCATCATGCGGTAGTTTTTCTCACAAAAAATTGCCACTAAACTGTTTGATGGGCCGGCTTACCCTTGGGGCCTTTCATCGTTGAAGAGAGCCTTGCATATAGAGCCACTTATTCTGCTCAAACCTTATGGGATTCTTCTTCGAACTCGAATTCGTTGCATCGTGCTATTCTTTGATGTTAAGAAGTCATTCTCACAAGATCGTCTTGATGTGAGTTTAAGGACAAAAATCAGACTATGCTTAAAATCAGACTATGGGATTGTGAAAGCCCCAGTCTCGAGCACCATGATCGTCTCCTGTTTCACCAGGACCACGTTCTGACCATTACCGTTCCTATACTGAATTGCTGCAACCACCTACTTCCACATTTCCATTTTTTTAGATCAGTATGTAAAGGATATAAGGGAGACCTGAGACAATCTACCTGTGAATAATCTATCCCTTACAATGGATAAGATGAGCGAAATTTGCGACATGTATAATACATTATGACGAAAGAAATTTCACCGAGGTCAGCGTGAATTTTGCCAGGAAAGTTAGAAAGACCGTAGGAGAAGATAGGTCGAAAGGGTGTGATCCAAAAATATTGGGAATTCGATGCAGATCCCATAAAAGTCTTATTCAAGTAGCCTGCAAACTATACGAGACGGTTGTTACGATTATTACTGAAGCCTTTTCCCAGTCTCTATAGAAAGAGGGAGTGAAGAGATTATAATCCTTGCCCACTATTTTCAACGTCAAAAGTGTCGAGAATCTATCTGGTCAGATGAGCAGATTGCAGCACAGAGTTTTTGCACCGCGCACCTATGTGTGCACCCGCAACAAAACATTTGTACAGGTTGAAGATTGAAAATTACTTAGCTTCAAATTAGGGATGACAATTTCAAAAAGGGTTCTTGAAGGAATGACATCAGATATGCGGCTTTGAACTTCGTTGTAACTCATATCGTTTAGGTAGTGTGCACTGATGAGCTCCCTTGATGCAAGTTGCCTTGAAGGATGGGGAATTTTCAGTGCGAGCTGGCTCAACAAACAGCATAGTGGACGTTTTCTGGGAAACGTACGGCATAAATACAGAAAAAAGTTTTGCCATTCTTTGAGACATTTTCATATACTGCTCAACGATTCCGAGTTGCTGCTCTTGAAATATATCATCGTTTCTTTCCAGAAGCTGTTTCTGTTCTCATCCCAGAGCAAGTTCCATACACTTGTAAGCCGCTTCAACGCGAGAAAAGCGAAGTGGCAGCAACTCCTCCACAAAAAAGTGCAGTCGCCGTCAGGCTCGGATTTTTCTCGATCGCACTCAAAAATTATTCCAAATCGCTTTATCCACCTAAGCCAGAACTTCTTTTTCTACTGGAGTGAAATCTTGGACTTCATCTCTATCCACAGTTCAACATTCCCAAACTGCTGCTCATATCGGATTTCTTTCATATTTTCTGAAGAAAATATGTCCATGCTAGACTCTAACAACCAGCATTGATCTCATTCTTGGAAGCCATCATTTTTACGCCGTAATGTCACTCGATGTGCATTGTACATCTATCCATTATATGGCCTATTTTGATTGGCAATAAATGTTATCTCGAAGGTGAGCTTATTTAATTTCTATCTTGTTGGATTAGTTGCCAAAAGCTCATCGTATTATAGCTGGACCAACGGTTTAGTGGTTCCGTAGTAGGTTAAGTAATATTGTCATCGATTATTCTACTGAATATCAGATGCTCATATTACGGGAATAAATAATAATTACTAGGGCACGCTCTGTTCCAGCAGTAGCCATGCTTTGGCCAGTAGTGAGACAGTACTACTGCATTTTCAAAATAATAGTCTGATCGAAAAGTATGATAGCGTTGAGATTGTTCTGTTTTATTTTACAACTCAGCAAACAATGCAAGCCAAAGAACCATATAATAATCATCGTTAATTATAGCATTGTCCCACCTAACTAGCAGTTCAGCGATACCTTCTTTTCTCAGGACTGGGAAGATCGGGAGTCAAAAAAGTCACTTACCCACTTGTTCGAGGTGTCAAAGTTGACGAATTGTTTTTTTACTAGGAGACCTTGAGGGGCTGGAACAAGTGGTATCTGAGGGGCAATATCAGGTGAATAGGGCGGATCTGGAACCGTGTCTCAGCCTCGCTCCTCCAATTTCGCCCGGGTCTCTTCACCTATCCTCTTCGACGGTGTGGAGAATGACGGACTCGTCCACGGCCAGAACGAGGCCTGTCTTCGAAGCCCATGTCTCCTTTCTTGAGGCGAGCGAATCAGCGATGGGGAGGTGTTCTCCCCGAATGTGCTGTTGATGTGCTGTAGACTGTTGCTGTCGCTCCAGTGCCGCGGCGCCACTCATGGAAGTTGATGGTTCGAAAAAATATTATTGTGGAATTGACATTTTGTTTAAACTCAATTAGGGCACGCGCCCTTATATACCTTTTGCGGAAAAGCTTCCAGAACGTTCTACAACTGTCACACGATAGATCATGCATATAGGTCGAAAATTGAAAATTTCGCACTTTTTAAAATTCCTATCAAGACGTTTCGATCAACTTAAGCCCTGTAGAAGTAACCGCGATGATACGGCGCTACGTCAAATGTCAATAACTCGACAAATGAATATTCGCGACAAGGGCCTTTCCAGTATGCGGTGCCACGAGATCACGCCCGTATGCACACACTGGCCTTAATCAATGTGGACCTTTATCAGTAAAAGTCGACGAGACTAGCCTGCTTAATCACTACCAATACACCTCGACATAATTGGAACTCAAACACTTCCTCGAGTGCTAAGGAAGTTTTCGTTCTAATGATAACAAGCGACAACGCGTCTCCTTCCCTTTCAAGATTTACTATCTTTCCAGAGAGCTTAGTTCGGCTGAATGGCGATCCTGAAGCTGTGAAGGAACTAAGCGAACGTAATATCGGACGGGTCTACTTTGAGAATGCAATCGGCAAAACTAGCAATGCATAAGGAACTGGGGAACACCATCTTATCACGCGAGGGGAGCTTTTATAATGATGGAGGCTAAAGTAATGTCGAAGACGGGACAGAAGCTGTAGTACAACCGATACCTTGAGGATCTTCGAAAGGCATCAAGTATAAGTCTAGCACTAGCAGAGGAATAGGAGATAATGTGTAATCATTCTCAAACTAAGCTGCTTGTGTCAAAAAAGCTTTCCGAGCTTTTACGGGAAATTCTGAAAAATTCGGCAATCACAGAACCTAACATCATTGCCAAGAAACATCGATTGGAACTCGGACATAAACGGGGGTTGCGGGTTGAACCTGAGAAAGGACAAGTAGCTCTGAACTCTGATGCAGTACAACCTTTTTTATTGGAAAATGGGTCACAAAGACGAATCAATAAAAAATAAAGTGGGAGTGTTTATGGAAGCGACCGCACCGGGGTGCGCTTCGTTGCACGCGTCTGTCGAAACTAGGCCACGCCGCAGCTGTCGCATGCGGCAGGTCGGCTCGCGATACTTGACGGACGTCACAGTTGTCAGTGGGGCATACGATTTGCGCTTGGTCCGCGGCAGCCAGCCAATGAGAAGATAACACGGATAAATGCAAATCATTTGTTCCACTCACACTTGATGGTACTGCAATGTCATCTCGAGACCT